AGGCAGAGGTTGCAGTGAGCCGAGATCGTGCCACTGCACTCCAGCATGCATGACAGAGTGAGACTCCATCAAAAAAAAAAAATCACATTCTGACTGATTTTCTGTAGTGTTCTTCTCAATTCCATTTATTTCTGTTCTTATTTCCTTGCTTCTGCTTGCTTTGGGTTTAATTTTCTTTTTCCTGGTATCTAAAGATAGAAGCTTAGATCATTGACAGACTTGTTTTCTAGTATAATATGCCATGAATTTTAAATCTATTTTGAAATAAGGGCATGCGAAGGCAAAAAAGAAAAGCAAAATATTTTTTCTATTTTAAATTTTGTTTATAATTTTAGAATATTAATTGCCAGGTAGAAAGGTTATGGATAAATAATTTAAAATCAAAAAGACGATGTCTGCCTCTACTTCTCTTCCCAACTATTCTCACCTTCCCATTTCTCCCAATGAACATGTGGACTTTTAACTAACTTTCATCTAAGAATCAAGAAAGTGTGATGTCTGTGCATATTCTCTTAAATGAAAGAGTCCAGACTGTTACTGTAAATTCCTCAAGAATGGTGATATAATTCCAAACCATAAAAAGACACAGTAAAAATTAAGGTATTTTCTCAATCTAAGGGCTAGGAAAAAGTAAAACAAAATGAAACTTTGCAAACGTTATTCTATTTCTGAAAGACAAAGCATCATGTATGAACAAGTTTATAAACGCTTCACTGGAAAAACGGAACCCAAAAAGGCTAAATCACTTATGCAAGCTACCTATCAAGTTAGCACTACTACTGGAACTCTAATCCAGTTCTGAGTTTTAGCATAATGTATTTTTTTCCCCATTAAATTATATTCTCCTCCCATAGATCTTATCAAGTTGAAATTATTTTGTCTCTGAGAGTAAATTATGGACAAGAAGAAACATCTTATCCAAAGAAAATTAGTTTCCACAATACCTATATAGAGAGTATCTAAGAGCTCTGTTGCTGATTAATTTCAACTGGAGTATAAGGTGTTAGTTTTAGGTATTGCTGTATTTTGCTATACAGAAAGAATGAATGTGTTGGGTCCATAAATAGTAAGCACTCAATTCTCAGTAATAAGAGATCCAGTAAGAAGGCAGTCCTTATTTTATGAAGTAGCCACAATGGAAGAGTATGCCCCTGTTCTTGACCAAAGAACCAGGGAAAAATAAGTTCTGGCCATAGAGTACAGCTGCTACAGGAGACATGCTGCTTATTTCTATGGTGCATTGAGGTCCATAAATTCCTAAGCCTTCCCCCAGCAAATAACTTGAAGTGGGGAAGGAAGAAACCATCTAATAACAGAAGCCAACCTGTGGTATCAAAGCCTATGCTACCATTATATCCACTGCTATCCATCACATCCATACGGTTGGACCATAAAAGTACACTTTCAGACCAAAGATGAAGAAGATTACGACAAGCTGTTGGTGCTGTTTTTTTTTTTTCCTTGATTTATCAGTGCTCCTAATAAATACCTAAAGAGTGTGGATATTAGAAATGCCTAATTCAATTGGCCCAGATAAATGGGTAAATGGTAATTAGGCCCAACTTTTACCCTTTTCTAGTCATTTACCTGCTGCCTATCAGCCTCAAGCCCACCCTTCTGTATTCTGCTCAAAGATGCAAGGACTAAGAATCGGCAGACTACACATCTCAAACTCCCTTGCCCAACAGCTTCCAGGTTAGGTTCTGCCAATGAGTAATAATCATGTACAGTTGGAAGGTAGAAGAATAGAAGAAAGAATTCCATTGCCAGCACCACCTATACCATAATTCCTGAAAAATACTAATACTAGCCAGGCCTACAAGTACCAGCACCAATGATCAGTCTTCCCTCACCCACCCCAAGATCTGGGTATCTCTTCAGAAGTGTAGAACTAACCAGTTGTCCCCTACTCTGACAGTTCCTTCTAAACACTAGCTGCTATGAGTATCCTCAGAATTCTAAGCAGCCAAGATGCAGCCACTTCAGAGATCCCTACTTCACCTCCTAAGACCTCTTCTGAATTCCTAGATTCTGGTAACAATACTTCTTTCATTTTATTCTCCAGTCCTATAGGCCACAGCGGTTTCCTACTATTTGGGTTACTCCAGTTGTAATGTCTCCTTTCTGATATCTCAACCTTGTAACACAATGTAAGCCAAATATCTGCATTAAAATGCTTCTGTTTAAAAAGTTTAGCATGGTTCCTGTTTCCCAGCCTGGATCGAGACTGAAAAAGTCCTCTGCCTCTAACCAGAACACACTCTCCCATCTCACCTCCTGCCCATCTTCATCGCCCATTGAAATTCCCCTAAATCAGGATCATCTAAAAAGAAAACTGTTCCTCTTAAAGGAAGACAGTAACCTTAAATAAAATAGATAAAAACATATGAGATAAATTTAGATTTAGGTGGACAATGCTTGCAAATGAGTAAATTAGATCCTGGACACAGCGTGGGGTAAAATTGTGAAAGATTTTTGAAATGGACAAAAAAGATTACTAACATCATTTCAATGGAATGCTGGAACATCTGGGAATTGTGTGACAATGCAGAAGTGTGTGTCTTTGTTTATCTTTGACTAGGCTAGTTTACAACTCTCAACATATATAACATAATGGCCATGCAAATGTTTACTGTTACTGTCCATAGCTATGCAAATGATCCCCATTCAAGGTAGTGCAAATGAATTGCCAGGTAAAGAAAATAAATCTTCAAATCAAATCCTTATTTTGACTGACTCTACTACCTTACTGGTGCTCCATGTGAAAATAAAACTTGAAAGCTATGGGAATCAAAAAAAAAACAAAAAAAACACTTTAAGTCTTGAGAGAGATGTGACTGTCATCTGAGTCACATATGGTTATAACTTCTGTTCTTGGATTACAGATTAAATCTCATTTTTCTTGTTTTGTACAATAGCTAGAGAGAACTGAATGATGTCATAGACAAAAATCTCCTGCCTTCTTCATTAAAGACCCTTGTTATAGATTAACATCCCTTTTGTCATTCTGCTTCACTTAGACCAGATAACAGAAAACCTGTGATTATTGCACCCTCTGTAAAAAAAATGTTAAAAAAAATTTTTTTTTTTTTTAAAGACAGGGTTTCACCATGCTGGTCAGGCTGGTCTTGAACACCCAACCTCAGGTGATCCGCCTGCCTTGGCCTCCAAGGTGCTTGGATTACAGGCGGGAGCCACCACACCTGGCAAAAAAACATTTTTAACATTTCCCTATAACCAACCAAACTGCTGTAACTATGCACTAGCCCTGTATGAATAATGTTGTAATCCTGCTAAAAACTCCTCTGCCTATGTAAATGAAATCTTAACTTCCCTACTTTGGACGGCTGACTGCATTCCTTTAGAGTTGGTATTTCTGTGTGGTCCATGCTCATTATTTTGCTATTCATTAAATTCTCTTTAAATTAGATTCTGACCCTTTTGATTATTTTATGTTGACATTCATTAGTTAATGAGTTAAATAAATTCTCTGAAATGTGTTCATTTTATATGATATGCGTAAGGATAAATAAAATGAAATTTTCTTTCCTTAATAAAGGAGATGCAGCTGGCCATTCAGGGTTTATCTCCTTAAAAATAGTAACAGGCCCAATACTTTGGTCCAAATTTGATAAACCTAGTCTCCAGATTTTACAATGAAAAATCATGAGTCTTTCAGCGGTTAGAAGCATAAATACATATTTCCTCAATTATAACTCAGGAAACTCTCGGGATGCATATAGACTATCATAAGGAACATTCAAGCCCCAGGAGGTTCCTCAGGAGAATGGAATGGAAGACCCGTCTACTTCTTTTTCCAAACCCAAGAAAAAGAAATCTTTTTCCAAGGAGGAGTTGATGAGTGGTGATCCTGAAGAAACCACTGGCAGCCCCAGTCTTCCCAAGAGGAAGAAATCATCACCCAAGGAGGAAACAGTTAATGACCCGAAGAGGCAGGCAACAGAAGTGTCTCCAAGAAAAAGAGGAAATTCTCCAAAGAGGAGCCGGTCAGCAGTGGACCTGAGGAGGCTACTAGCAGCAAGAGCAGCTCCAAGAAGAAGAAAAGTTCTGTAAAGAAGCTCAGGAAGATTAGAATGCAAATAGACATTCTCTGGGAGGTGGGGCATACCATAGCCCAAGGTGACATTCCCCACCCTGTGTCCTGTTCCCCAATAAAAACAAACTCATTAAAAAAAAAAAAAAAAAAGGATCATCCAATTATCTCTTGAAAAGATAAAGGAGGTTTAAATTATTCTTTCCTCTACTGAACTGTGAAATTCTGCCCAGACTTTAGAGTCTCCCCTGGACTACCTATATGCATGTAATCTGATATGCATATTCAAAAATAAATTGAATTTCTATGTCTATACTAGTATGAGGAATTTTTTTGTAGGCAGGATTTTTTTTTTATTACACTAACATATGATAGTCATAATTATCCTTTTAAAAATGTTTAACATAAATATAAAGAGTACTTAATATAATATAAAGAGTACTTTTTTGTAATTCCACATAAAATACCCCCAAATTTAAAGTAATAGTTTTAGTTAGAAAGAACAAAACAAGCTGTGTCAGTTAACAATCAGTGGTAAAAGAGAAATTCTAAACTATACAGCCCCCTTTAGTGGTAATAGACTTGGTTTTAAAAAATGTAACTCTCTAACAGTATACATTTAAATGCATTGGCAATATAGCATAAAATTGACTGTGCTAAATAATGTGAAATAATAAGACAAATAATAAGGTCTGAGTGAAATAATAAGACAAAGACATCTTCCAAAAGTAAGTTAAATAAAACCACACTGGGGGTGAAGACCTAGCCAAACATAAAGAGTATCTCTAAATTGTATTTTAAAGTTTTTAAACTACATTAAGATACTAAGATGGATTTTAATATTAATCCTTTAAAATCTATTTTAACACATAGATTTTGATTAATACAACAAATTAACATCAACTCTGTAAATATAAAATTTTCAGTATGAAAAATAAAATTTTACCATTTTCCTAGCAATTCTCCCCAAGAATATAGGATCTTCTCAGGACAATCCTTAGACACATCACCTGTTCCACTTGAGAGTTCATTATCACTCTCTGCAGAAGAAATGCAAAAACCAACAAACATTATTTTATATATTACAGTAGATATTTATATATTATAAAACAAGAAACGTGTCTCTGTGTTTAATAAAACAAACTTCTCTTGATATTATTACATGCATTGCAAAAATAATGGTAATAACTTGATTAATTTATCTTTAGTGCCTAGATATTTTTAAAAAACAAACTGGTATGAAAATCTCATATACAGTTTACATAACATGAAACTCAGAATACCTATAAATAAACAGCTGTTTCCAAAAAGGAATGTTTAAAGGCTAATGGTAGCACAACTGGAAATTCCTATATGGTGTTCTACTCACCAGATATTCTCAAATTTTATTAATGGGACCAACAAACATGAAAATTAAGGGTCAAACACATATACCTAACTGTAACACTGAGAGACATATGTATTATGATATGAACACACAAACAACCAGAGATGTAAAAAAAAAAGTTAGGTTTCTTAAGATGTATTCATAAAAAAAGATATTTTGAACTAAAGGAAATTGAAACTGGCCTTTTTATATGGCAATTTTACAAAACACCTCAAAACGTAAAATAATAGTTGAGGAAAGAATATGAGTTGGTTTTACAGTTTATAATCAGTGGTGAAAATGACCAATACTAAACTCTGTAAACCTTTTAACCAGTAACAGACGTAGTAGAGAAAAGAAAGGAAGGACAATAGACACAATTTACCTATTATAAAATAGGCTTTGACACAGTACTAGATAAGAAAAGGCTGGAGAAGTACTAAGAGAATACAGTAAGATAGCTGAAAAGCTGTCTGGCAGATAACAAGTACCAAAGTTTTATCAACACTGTGACAGTACAATAGGGATTGGCATTTAGTGGCTTGCACAGGGATCTGTGTTAAGATTACTTAGCAAACCACAAAATCGAGTAACACATCCACCTGCAGAGGCAAATGCTTCATCATCTTTAAAGCAATACTAGGTAAATGAGAATTATAGGGAACATTTAATGCAAAAGTGAACATCATTCTGTAAATCAAAAGGAAGGCGAAGAGAGTACACAGTAGCATGACTATTCTAGAAATACCTCACATACGCAACTCTATGAAGCTTGTAATAAGTTCATCATGAAAATAACATATTTTGAACGACAAAGCAAATGAAATATTATAAAAGTAATGTAAATAGAAACAACTGAATGATATAAATAGAAGCAAATAAAGCTTTAGTATTACAATACCCTGAGGAACTATTCCATGTAAACAACTATCTTTTATAACATTTATAATTTTTTTATTTAAACTGAGGCACTTTGTTACAGTGAAAGGGGACTATTAAAAATTATTCTCAGTCAGGTGCAATGGCTCAGGCCTGCAATCCCAGCACTTTGGGAGGCCAAGGAGGGCTTCAGCTTCAGACCAGCCTGGGCAACATGGTAAAACCCTGTCTCTATCAAAATTATAAAAAATCAGCCAAGCATAGTGGCATACTCCTATAGTCCCAGCTACTCAGGAGGCTGGGGTGGAAGGATCACTTGAGCCCAGGAGGCAGCAGTTACAGTGAGCTGAGACTGTGCCACTGCACTCCAGCCTGAGTGACAGAGTGAGACCCCATCTCAAAAAAAAAAAAAAAAAAAAAAATTACTCTGGAAGACAGCTTAGACTACCTCACGTGAACAAGGGCTGATAGTTGGCCCACTTATAAACTGGTACCAATTATAGGTACTTATAAATTTGTATTCAATTAAGCAGGATCCAAGATGATACCATCTTATACTCTATTCTGATCCACAGTAAATAATAATATGCCAAGGTTTCGGAATATTTGATGAAGTTGTACATGCCAAATTAGAGATGAAAATCTAGGAACACAATGCAACAAAAAAGAGTAAAGGAAGTAGACATTGCTGGATATCATAAATCTTGATTATAATAAAATCAGAAATAACACTGATAGAAAATCTTTCAAATTCTTAATACACTTGTTGGGAAAGGAATTCCTACACATAAGAACAAATTCAAGACACCATAAAAAAGATTAAGAAATCTTACTACCTATAAATTAAAAACATCTATGAAGGTATAGAATATGTATACTTTTTAAAAGCAAAAAAATTTCCAGCATTTGATAAATGGCTGCTTTCACTAATATACCACAATCTTACTAATCCAACAGAAAATTGAGCCAAGGATATCAACACACTACAGGTCACAATATGTAAAATATGACTAAAATAAAAGTGTTAAAGAAAGCCCCACTTCATGAAATCTTTTAAATGCAAATTAAAACAATGAAGCATATCTACCAATTACATTGACAGAGAATATAAAAATTGATAATACTTAGTTTTCCTAAAAGCATATGGAAACAGGCAAGAAGGTTGATGTTTAAATAAGAACAATCTTTTGGAATATAGTAAGATTCTAAGTTAATGTATCATTTGATCCACTTCTAAAAATTTATCCTCTAAACAAAACACACTCTAAATTCTAAAACTGCATCCTCTAAAAAAAAAGGATTTTTAGTGTATCCCTGCTTATAATAGTAAGAAATTGAACTATCAGCAATCCATCAATATGTTTTATTAACTAAATTATGGTATATTCAAGAGTAATCCAGAGAATACTATCAATTTAAATGAATGGGATAAATCGGCTATGCTGGCAACCACGGGTAAGAGGACAAGTATGCTGCCAGGCCGTCTGCTTGTGTGCGTGTGTGAGAGGCGGCAGGCCTCCAACTCGGGTCCCCCACTGACTGCTCTAGCACCATGTTTCCAGCCATGAACCAGCTCAGCACCCAGCCAGTAGAAGCCACACTAATCTTGTCACAGCTGCTGAAAGCCCAGAGCAACAAGAACCTTGCCAAAATTGTTATGTCTTTGAATGGAGTCATCAAACCAAATTGAAAGGAAGGAGAAAAGCAGAATTTTCCAAAACTAAACAGAAGACTCAAGCAATTTAAGACGAGAATACAATGTGTATTCCAACAGAATTCTGGTTTTGGTAAAACCAGTCTAAGCTGTAGAGGAAGAGTAATGCCTGGAAAGAGACATCCTCATGGATAATCATTGGCCTTGCAGTTAGGAAATTATCTGGAATTGGAAAAGGAATTAGTTCTATGAATTGTCCACGTGTAAGTAACGAGAATACAAAACACTACTTTTCAGTGTTAAAAAGAAAGGCAAGCCTTCTGAAACAAAATAAAGTATGCAGGACACCAATTGCAGTTCTCAAGAGACCTAACCAGCTAAACAGAAAAAATAATATTACGGCTAATTTTACCAGGAGAGAAAATAGATTAAGCCATCAGAAAGACACTTCACAGGTAACTTTTCTTTTCAGAAGAGGCCTGAAGAAGGTTCAGGCCCAGCTGAACACAGAACAACTGCTAGATGATGTAGAAGCGAAGAGGACTAGTCAATGCTGGACTTCCATCACAAATGCAGGAATTTGACTGTATCTACTGACAACCCCGGAGCAGTACAATGCCCAGTAACTCAGAAACCATAATTAATTCATACTGATCTACCTTTATTCTTTTAAAGAATAAAGAATGAACAGCAGCAAGAGAATGTAAAGAAAGTTCCTTCAGGTGTACCCCTACAATTTGACATAAATAGTGTTGGAAAACAGACAGAGATGGCTTTGAATGAGCAGTTCGGATCCTGAGAAAACAAAGAGCCACTCTCATAAATAACAGAGGAGAAAGTCACTTTCTGGAATAAATCCCATGTTACAGGGACTTTTGAGTGATGATGGTGTTTGAAAAGCTAAATTGCCTAAAGAGCTCTTCACAGAAATTTAGAAACTGTAGTTCAAAATATTCACAAGGTTTTTTTAAAAAAGTATAAAATAATGCCCTGAAAGAATATCACAGAATATACGTATCTGTTCTTAGACTTCACAAATGGCTCAGACAGAAACATTATTGTTACTTCTTTAGTTCCTTGAGCAGAAGATGACAGAAAGATATTGCTAGTGCTGACCTTTCTTTTTCAAGACAGAGTCTTGCTCTGTCGCCCAGGCTGGAGTGCAGTGGCGTGATCTCGGCTCCCTGCAACCTTCATCTCCTGTGTTCAAGCGATTCTCTTGTCTCAGCCTCCCAAGTAGCTGGGACTACAGGCACCCACCACCACACCTGACTAACTTTGTTTTGTATTTTTAGTAGAGACAAGGTTATGCCATGTTAGCCAGGCTGGCCTCGAACTTCTGACCTCAAGTGATCTGCCTGACTCAGCCTCCCAAAGTGCTGGGATCACAGGTGTGAGCCACTGTGCTCGGCCTAGTACTGAACTTTTATTATTATTTTTTTTTTTTTTGAAACGGAGTTTCGCTCTTGTTACCCAGGCTGGAGTGCAATGGCATGATCTCGGCTCACCACAACCTCCGCCTCCTGGGTTCAGGCAATTCTCCTGCCTCAGCCTCCTGACTAGCTGGGATTACAGGCACACGCCACCATGCCCAGCTTATTTTTTGTATTTTCAGTAAAGACAGGGTTTAACCATGTTGACCAGGATGGTCTCGATCTCTTGACCTCGTGATCCACCTGCCTCGGCCTCTCAAAGTGCTGGGATTACAGGCTTGAGCCACCGTGCCCAGCCAGTACTGAACTTTTAACAAGAAATGTGGCTGCAGGAATTAGTCTCAGTTTAAAATGTTGGTGTTTAAGTCTGCAAATGCATATTTACAAAGTTGTCTGATATGGCCTTGGAGAAGGTCCAATTTAGAAATCTGAAAATTTGTTTAGTAAATGAAAGCATAAGAGGAAGTAGTAAGCTGAAGGACAGATAACTCAGATGAAAAACTCTAAACTCAGGTCCTAGGTACACTGTTTGGATTTAGTGTAGTCTTGAATCTAGCATACACAAATAATTCTTCAAATGATGTTTAGAAGAATTATAATTATTAAAATGAATTCAGTACCCTGGATATTTTGATAGCAAAATTAATAACCATAAAGTATTAGACTTCTTACTTGAGAAGTTAAAATCTATAATCTTCAGAGCTTTCT